TTCCGCTAGTTTACTATACGTGCAAGTGGTGTATTGATTACCTTATGCAGAAGATATAGGTAAACAGAGTTGTTTTTAGTTTTAGTTTTTTTTGCACACAAAAGTGTTCTTGGAGCTTTGTATGATTACAGTTGAACACTGAATGCGTTAATCATGTTTCTGGATCTTTTTATAGCTGTCTATAGAGGATGACAGAGCTCCAGGATTTCATCTAAAATATCATAACTTGCGTTCTCAAGATGAACGAAGGTCTCAAAGGGTTGAAAAGACATGAGGGTGAGTAATTAAACAGAATTTTCATGTCTGAATTAACCTTTAATGTTTTAAAAGAAGCCTGCTCACCAAGGCTGCATTTATTTAGTTTAAAATACAGAACATTTTTTTTAAAATATATATATTATTACAATTTAAATAAACTTTATTCTCATTAGGTGTAGTTTAAAATGTGATTTATTCCTGTGATTCAAAGTTAAATTTACTCCAGTGTTCAGCAGATTTTTTCCGATACCGATATTAGTACAAATTCTGGCATTGGTATCGGCGAGTATTTGAAACCATAAATCAATTCGATACCATCCTTTTTACATTTACCATGTTTTTAAATTTACCATCGTTTTGAATGAGACGTACAGCTGGGAAAATGAGTATTGAACATGTCATGTTTTTTTCTGGGAATAATATTTCTAAAGGAGCTGTTGACATGGAATTAAAGAAGATTTTTGTAAAAATCCAAACAATACAAACATAAAAATACAGCAAAACAAAAAATTGTAAAAATCAGCTCTGTGCTGAACTACTGAAACGTATTTAATGCTTTATATAAAAGGCTTTTTTTTTGTGATGACAGCTTAAACACGCCTCTCATATGGAGAATGAAGTCACATGCATTGCTCAGGTGTGATTTTTTTACACAGGGTTCAACAAAGTGTAAAAATCTGGTTCTGTGGGTCTCGTCCATCAAATCTGAGATTTAATTAGCATTTTCTATTGGAATCAAGTCAGGTGAAAGGCTGGGCCATTCTACAGCTTGATTTTCTTTCTCTGAAAGCATTTGGCTGTGTTTTGGATCATTGTCTTGCTGAAATGTCCACTCTGGTTTCATCGTCATCACTCTGATCATGTAGATGTTGGACTGAAGCAGCTGATATTCATTTACAATGGCAAAGAGCAGAGAGTTGCTGAAGAACAACTGAGAGATTTTAGCTGCTGTCTGGGCTTTTCTAAACCTCCCTTTCTTTATGTGTTCAATACTTTTTCTGTGCATCATTTCATTTTATTACACATAACTTAATTAGGAAACTTATTAGATTTGTTTTCTTTGCATATATAGATTTTTTTTGGTTGTTTCCAACATCTATGGAAAATTTCAAGCCAACCCCATCTTTAGAAATATGTTTTCTGAGAAAAATGGTGATGTGTTCAATACTTATTTACCCCGCTGTATGTCCAATAGCTTTGCTTAACACTGCAAACCAGGAGTCAGTTCTTCTACTTTGAAAAAATGTTTTTTAAGTTTCAAAAATAATTTTTGCAAAATTATTCATATTCTTTTTATTTTTTGCACTGATTTTTATACAGCTATACTGTCAAACATGAATAGATTTAATTTGTGCGCTGAACTTGTTTCAGTAAAGTACAGTAAATAATATAACTGTTGAATGCCTGAAAATAAAAAAGTTAGATAATAGGCAAGACAAATTTATTTATATAGCACAGTTCATACACAATGGTAATTCAAAGTGCTTTACATGGACAATACTATAATTAATAAAAATACTCTAGTTCATGTTTTATAATCTGATCTTTATTTTGTTTTCTCTATTGGATTCGAGTCAGGGGATTGCCTGGGCCATTCTACAGCTTGATTTTCTTTCTCTGAAAGCATTTGAGAGTTTACCTGGCTGTTTTTTGGATAATTTTCTTGCTGAAATATCCACCCTGGTTTCATCTTCATTATCCTGCTAAAGTAGATGTTAGACTGAAGCAGCTGATATTCATTTATAATGAGGAAGGGCAGAGGGTTGCTGAACAACTGAGAGATTTCAGCTGCTGTCTGGGCTTTTCTACACCTTCCTTTCTTCACATGTTCCATACTTTCTCCCAGCGTCATTTCATTTTATTTCACATAACTTAATTAGTAAACTAATTCGATTTATTTTATTTGCATAAATGGATGTTGCTGCCAACATTCGGAAATTCAAGTAAATTTCAAGTTAACGGCACCTTTAGAAATATGTTTTTTTGAGAAAACACAATGGTAATTCAAAGTGCTTTCCATGAACAATACTATAAATAATAAAAATACTCTAGTTCACTGCATATATTTGTTCATATCTTAATAATGGATAAGTCTGAAGCACACCTTAAATTAATTCTGTTAATTTATACAGAAATAGTAGTAGTATACACAACTGTTTCTACAGATACACACTCCGGTATCGGTTCAGTACTCTGTATCGGCTGATACTCTGAGCTCAGGTATCGAAAAAGGATAAATGGTATCGGAGCATCCTTAGTATTCAGTGTCACACGATCCTTCAGAAAGCATTATAATATGCTGATTTGACACTGTGTAATGATAAATTATTAAGTACTCAGTCATTATTAATGGTTCTTACAATTCATAATACACTAAAAAAAAATATTCAAAGAGGATTCCTTGGATTTACTCAATTTTTTTACGTTAAGTGGTTGTAAACAATTTATTTGGGCTGAATTTAAACAAACAAATTTAGTTAAACATTATTAAACTTAATTTGTTTGTTTAAATTCTACACAAATAAATTGTTTGCAACAGTTTTGCATGCAACACTTATTTCAGTGTACATTTAATTTTTTCTGATTTTCTGATGAACAAGTAGTGTTCTTGATGAATAACGGTAAACACATTTTAAAGTACAGTAAATACAAAATGAAATAATTAAATACCATAAATAAAAAAACCGCATCACAGATGAAAAACAGGATTAGTATTAATGATAATAAATTAATAATAATAATGAATGTTTCTTGATTTCTAAAGGATCATGTGACACTGAAGATGTTTTAAATCACAGGAATAAATTATATTTGAAACCACATTCAAAAATAGAATCAAAATGTTTAAAACTAATAATAATAACTCACAATTTAACAGTTTTTACTTTTTAATCAAATAAATGTAGTCTTGATTAACAGAAAAGGCCTCTTTAAAACATGTAAACATCTTCTGATCTGAAACTTTTTACTAGTAATGCATGTATGCATGTATGAGGGTCACATGAGGTCAGAAGTGGCCGCAGGAGTGGACAAACACTGTGCTAAAATAGCTTTGTTTTTTTATGGCACCGTTTCAGTCATGCTTTTTCAAAACCCTGCAGTGACCGCTGGAGGTTGGTAAGTTATTTTAAAAGAATAGCTGCATTGCTTAAAGTTACTCTAGTTAATGGATTCAGTGGCCGTTTACACACTCAAACTATAGCAGGCGAACGATCTGAACATCCTTTCCAAAACCTGCAAAGACGGTATTAATGTAACACTTTATAATCAGGTTTCACTTGTTAACATTAGTTACAAAAAAGAACAATGAAAAATACTTTAAAAGTATTTTTTATCATATTTAATGTTAATTTGCTAATACTAATTATATTTTAATCTAATAATATACAATGCAAAAACATTCAGACACACCCGAATCAATAAGCTTGAATGACAGTAAACTAAATAAAATGACAATTCAGTCATTGCTTGAAATAAAATAACCATGTATAAAAATATGTTTTATACATGTATAAAAAATTACATAAATACACATAAACATAGATGTGTATATATTCTTAATTCATCTCTGATTGGTGTGTGTGAGAGATAATAATGTTTTTGAATAATACATTTATTATTATCTATATATTTGAAACAAACTAAATTTCTGATAATTTTATGTCCTTATATTGGTATTTTAGTTTGTATGCTGAAATAAAATTAAATAAAAATAATAAAATAAAATACAAATTAATTTAAAAATAAAATGTAAATAAAAAATGAAATTTAAAATAATAAAAAAAATTATTAAATTTAAATAAAATAAATAAATATTTAAATGAAATAAAAAAAATTAAAAAATTTAAATAAAAAATAAAATAAATAATAA